GCAAAGTGTTCACTTATATTTGTGTACACTCGCAATAAAACACAACATTGTGCTTTTGTCACACTGTAAACTCTTGTCAAACTGTAACCTACAACTGTCACCCAACCAAAATCACACACACACACACACACACACACACACACACACACACACACACACACACACACACACACACACACACACACACACACACACACACACACACACTGTTTTAAAAGCAAAACATATTTATCCAACTCCATTTCAAAACAGTCTGTGGGTCCCATCTTTTAAACATTCTTCATATTGCATTGGTTTTCATTTCGTGTCCTCGGAGCACTAATCTTACACATTCTACATTCATTAAAAAAAGAAAATCGAATGTTTTTAATGGTAGTATTATTTTATACATGCAGAAATCAATTATTTATAGTTCAGATGAGAATAATGTTACATTGTCAATTCATAATGTTAATTAAAATTAAGGAAAACAAATATATTGATCTGAAATATAGCAAAATAATTTTAAATTAATAGTACAATTACCAAACATATCGCAAGGTCTTTTTGTCTTTTTATTAATTTAATTATATACAACTATTGTCAGTGCATCTATGCCTTTATTAATAAAACTTATTTTAAAAATACAATACCTTCTGCATTTTTGTTTTGCTTTTCCCTCCATTGTACCGAAATCGTACCGAACCGTGATGTCTGAACCGAGGTATGAACCGAACCGTGACTTCTGTGTACGTTCCACCCCTGAGTACATGATTCTGATTGGACAATATTCTGTGGTCAAATATTTTTGTATAAACTTTTGTATGACCCATAAACTTCTATGGGACCAGAGACCATTGTCTCTGAAAACCACTTAACTGGTTGTTTCCCCTTTCTATCTTGAGTAGCCTACTACAACACTGCTACTAACCAATAAATAAATAATAATTAGACATGAAATATCGATTTGACTTAAAATAACTTAGACTCGATTCCAAGTCCAAAACCATATTTTTATGGTCTTGGTCTTGTCATGGACTCAGGGGCATTTGGATTCGTTCTTGACTATTTTCTTTGCCACTAGTGGCACTAAATGGAATTGCCAAAATAATAACTTTTTCCAAAAATCACCCATCTTACCATTGTCAGGTCAAGTCATCTTTATTTTATATGTAATGCTTTACACAATAATCAGTGATGCAAACTTCAAAATTCAAAGTCAATTCAGCTATAAAGCTGCTCTGCAGAAAACACAATTCAGTTGAAGTTTTGTTTTCATCCAATGTCACTGCAGTCAATTTGATAACATTTCGGAATAAAGTGTCTTTTAAACCCCAACCAAGCGAGCCAAAGGCAATGATGGCAAGGAACCCAAACCCCATCAGGTGACAGATATGGAGAAATAAACTTTGGGAGAAATCAGGATCAGTCAGGGGGCAAGTTTTCCTCAGGCCAAATGAACAAACATGGTGTGATTTATTCCAGACTGCATCGCAAGTCAGATTGTGGATTGATATCAATCAAAATTCATTGTTTGGATAAACATGTCCGGTCCCAAATAAGATGTGTGTTTCAGTAATTTCTCAATATACCCTTTTCAGTTATATCAGTACATTTTATGCTTGCTATTCCTAAAGAATTGATGTTAAAGGCATCCTAACCTCACAACTGACCTCCTCTCCCTATACATCCTGGTTTCCTGGTTTTGAATATCACAGCTTTTATTGTCTAGAAATCATGAAGAATCTTGAGTTTCCTACTCTTGTTTGAAAATGGAATGTGAGAGAAAGCTAACACCTCTTAGCCTGGTGGAAAATCCTGAACTTTGACCTCTTCAGGCTACATTTAGCATGTAGATTCACTCCTGGTACATTCTGTTGAGACAACTGGTTGAGACAGACACTGGTTTGTTGACTTAAGACCATGCTTTGTCTGTAGGTGAATATATAGGCCTATATATTTTTTCATCAATCACCATGACAAGAAGAGTGCAATCCATTATAAGCATCAAATCATCTTCAGGTCCTGACCTGTCGTTTTGCCTTATGAACATGACCTTACAATGTTCTATCCTGAAGACTGCTAAACATCTCCTGACTGTCCACAACAAATAAAGTAGGTACAACTCAATATCTAATGATTTTGAATAATTTGAATCTTTTTGTAACCGAATTTTGTCTGAGGTTTCGCTTGCTAGGAAACATCTGCTATAGACAAACAAATAAATCATATAATCATTAGCTGATTAATTGCAACAAATCCATTTACTCAATCCAAGCAAACTTTCATGCTCTGAACTTTTGGTGACCATTCTGTGGACCTCTGATTGTTTCCATGTGTTGTGGCAGATTGTGTGTGGTGGCGATTCATTTGATTACGATAAGCTGTTCTTCTGTTCCACTGAATGTTTACAAGAATACAAAACAAACAATTCACTCATTCATTTACCCCTGCTGTCTGTTCTGAGAGCCCGTCTTTTGTCTTTCTTATTAGTGTCCAGCTGAGTGTGGTCAGTTATAAGTATAAAATCTGTTTATGTTTCAGAGGCCAATAATAAAGTGGGAAAACTGTGAAACAGGAAACAATATAAACAGTTACATATTTGATTTATCATTCCAAAAGAAATGATCGCACTCGAGTAGTGATTGTTAGCATGTTTCTATGCTATTAGACTGTTATGCATGGTTGTCTTTAGAGAAGTATTTCAGGCAATGCGTATATTAACACAAAAATGTGAATGTGAAAAATATCTGTGCTTCTGTGCAAAAATATAAATCTATGAGCATCTAAACGCAGCCGAAATCTAATGGCATCCTTGAAAGACATTCATTAGATCAAGTATTTTGTGCTTTTGCTAGAGGTCATCCAATTAAACAGTCTTTAAATGACCTTTCTAAACTGTTTCACAAGCCATTAAACCCAGCTAGTCAAATATAGTGTCTAAACTGCACTTAGAGCTCTGAAATAACGCTAACACTAATGTTTAACGCTAACCACAACATGTTTTCAGGGTAATGGAGTGTCTCCTTACATGGAAATAATAAGCTAATATGAGCATACTGGATGCAACGGAGTTATCTGTCTATCTGTCATCTTCTCTTAAATCTTTAAACAAGGTCTTTAAGAGGTAATGTTTGCTGGGTGGAGCACACACTGGCTAGCTGTGCTGACACCCAGGAAAGGTAAATAAAACAGGCAAACAGACTTTCAAATGGTGTTGTTTGTATGTATGTGACAGAAAACCCCTTATTTAGCAATTTTCCAGTTTTGGCAAAGGATAATATTTGTGGAAGGATCTCGTAATCCACTGCTCGTGACGCGCTAAGAATTTAGCACGGTCCAGCTGCCGGTTTTGGCTACTCTTGGTCATTTCTGACATCAAATTGTCCATTGATGAGAAAAAATACACAAAAAGATGGACTCTTGCTTATAAAAACATTGACTGTGAAAGGAAGCCTGAGGAATCTGGGCGTCTGTCTCAGTTCAGGTCACCCTGCTGCGCTGGTGTTTGAGAATTCACTCATACAAGGTTCACAGAGACTGCCTGTGTCTCAGACTTCTGGTATGTGACGCAGGAAAAGTCACGATAACACCTACCAATTCTCACATTCATTCACAGACTGTCTCCTGACTGGTGACATCACAGAAATTTGAGGTGTTGAAGTGACCAGTGGAACCTTTTTCACAAACACAATTCCACAGTTATCATATTTTAATTCTAAAAAAGAATTATTTACATTTATAATGCCACACTTTGTGTTATATTCATACCTTTGCAGTAAATTACAAAACAGATTAACACCCCAGACAGCAACATAGTGTCGGCCCAGATCCGGCCCACATCTGGTACACGTGGATTCCACATGGTCTAGATGTGGGCCGGTATTAGTATTTTTGTATTTTTCTAATACAACGGCTGAGGGAGTGACGACAAATTTGACATTCTCTCTTCTGACTGCTGTAATTAATCTCTCTATATTTTTCACTCTTTTGGAAAGTCGTTGCTATTGGAGAAAATGGGAATACAAAACTAATATTTGTTGCCGTATCCCATTCACCACTATAGACGTTTACCCAACTATGACGACTTCTGAACGCCGGAAATATGAGAAGGTTGCCTACCTGACGGCTGGTGTTTTTAATGCCAGACAAGAAAAACACCGTCCCTCATTGAAACCGATTAACCAGCGCAGTCTTTTTGCTTCTCATAATTAAAGAATTCACGTTTGACAGGTGGGACTTTTTGCTTTTTGCTTTCATTCCTTCCATTAGTCAGCAATTCCCAAAGAAGGCATTGAAAGAGTGGGGGAGCGGCTCTGGGACAGGAAGGATCGGGGGAGAGACACACAATGTGGTAATGTCATTAAACCTCAGGGTTGTGGAAATGGAAAAGCACACCATGGGCTCTTTGATCGCTCTCAAATGTCCATCTTTAAACCTGCTTACTGTGGTTGCCACAGTAACATGGCAAATATACAAACATCATGATTCTGGCACAGACCTTTGCATCAAAGAAAACGGGTGTGTGTGGACAGCTGGCACGTCATAAAAGGAGAATTGAATGCTTAAAAACTATTCTAGAGCGGAGAACTTTGGAGAGGAATGTGTGACCAGTAGTAGCAGACCTTCACTTCCCTTTATCCAAGAGATAAAATGATGAGGGAATGTGGGGGAAGCAGAACCTCCACTCGACTGAATTTCCGGATATGACAAAGATATGTGGTTGTTTCTCTAAGAAATAATGCTTTTGAGGAAGGTTCTGGGTAGGATTCTTGATTCTTCTGATGGGAAACAGAGTGGTTTTGTTGATACAGTGTGGAAATTGTCATCCTAAAAAGGCATTTCAAAGGCATATCTGGTCTGTTTCAAATCTAATTACCACAGGCTTGGTTTACTAGCTCTGAACTCACATCTGCACTGCATTTCAGTAAAATCCAAGTGACTCAGCACTGTCAACATCAGTTAGGTTACTAAACTACCATGATTACAATGTTCTATGAGCCCAGAGTGATTTGACGTACCTCAACATTGTTGTTGATGGTACTGATGAACCGGTGGCCAGGGATCCGCTTCTGATTGCACATCACCCCAACATCCTCGCTGTGCCTGCAGTCCGACACCCCAAAGCCATTCGAGGGGCATTCGGCTAAAGATTTTTCTCTTCCTGTGCAATGGACATTGTCTAGCCAAATGCGACCTGTGGAATAAAGAACAATTGTTGGTTTTGTCAATCACCAGCAAATGTTTAAAATCCATTCGACTCCAGTGGGTTAATAAAGGCCTTCTGAAGCGAAGCGATGGGTTTTTGTAAGAAAACTATCCATATTTAAAACTTTATAGACTATAATCACTGGCTTCCGGCAACGGCCGTTCGCGTGTTCATGAGAGAGTCGAGTTCCGGCAGAAGGGTGACCTCTGACCTGACGTATGACATTTTTCTTTAAAACTTCTCATTTCAGACTACTAATTCATGACCGGCGTTTTGTTTTGCCTTGCTCTATACGCTGCACTTCCGCGTTCATCAATTCTCTACTAAGCTTACGATACGCCTATGTCCTACATCGGGTCAGAGGTCACCCTTCCGCTGGAACTCAACTCTCTCGTGAACGCACATATGGCTGTTGCCGGAAACCACTGATTATAAAAACAAAGACCCATCGCTTCACTTCAGAAGGTATTTATTAACCCCCTGGAGTCGAATGGATTACTTTTATGATGGATGGATGTGCTTTTTGGAGCTTCAAAACTAGGACACTATTCAATGCCATTACAAACTGGGAATTTTTTTAATTTAAGCCAGGATATTATTTAATATAACTCTGATTGTGTTCGGCTGAAAGAAGAAAGTCACATACACCTAGGATGGCATGAGGGTGAGTAAATAACGGGAACACTTTCATTTTTGGGTGAATTATTCCTTAAGAGGAACTCTCAAAATGTACTCTCTTATTCTACTTTATCTAATTCTAAAACTGTATGACTTCCACAAAAGGTGAGTTTTTAAACAATATCCTTAAAAAGCACCATAAAGGTATCATTAAAAGTGCTTCACACAACTCGTGTGCTATATTGTTAAAGTGTTCTGAAAGTCTTTGTACAATGAACAGACCGAAATCAGATAAAAAATCAGATCTGCCTTAGATAAATTAATTGTTCTTTTGAATGGGATCTTTTTAATGAATTTGCTGAATGACTCGATCATGAAATGGACTGATTGGGTTCTCGGGATCAACTCAGTGATCCAATGAAAAAATACTTTTATGATGCTCTTTGTAGCTTAAAAGTCCCAGTCTCAATTCTTTCTTTAAAATTTCTCAAAAATGTCATTCAGATTTGAAGTGAACGATGAATTTAAAAAGGCTGATAGTGACACAGCAAAACCTCCTTGGTAAACCGTCTTTAACCGACCTAGTCAGTCTAGATTTAGCTATTTTCTATTGCTTCAATATAAAGTTATCCTTCCAGAATTTCCTCTCACTGTGCATTACATGCTGCATTTGATTTTGCGTACTCAGTGGAAAATGAAATAAAAGTGGTTATTCTTCCATAGGGCTCAATCAAAACCACCCACTGAACTCTGGAGTTTGATTTACAATCTTTGGACAGATTTATTGAAACAAATCATCATGTTTCTTTAGTAAAGAGACAGAGAGATGAGATTATGTCTGCTCTTGACGTTGGATCTTGTTTCCATACTTTTTTAACTGTCTGATTGGTATCAATTACTGCTAATGACTAAAACATGATGGATTACTAATGCATTAAGAATATATGAACATAGTGGATCTTTCAATGGACCATATACGCTTATAATATGCCTATCAGACTGAGTTTTTGGAGTAATTCTTGCCTACCTTCTCCTTGTCCGAACTTTGCAGATGGGGACCAAGCCACAGCGCCCAGGAAGCCAAGCTGCCGGCACGCAACATGAGCCGCTTCCATTGAGAAGTCATCATCACAGACAGTCCCCCATTCATTGTTGTAGAAGACCTCTAGACGACCCTCGTAATGCTTGCGTTTATCACCGGCTAGGCGGAGTTGAATCTTGGGTTGCTGGGATTCAGATTGGGCCTGAACCAGGACCAACAGATTGAAGATGTACAATGCAGAAGAGACCGCCATGGCTAAACTTCCACAAAGACCTGCGAGAGCATTAAACAGCACAAACACAAGATTAATAATCTAACATAAAATAACCTAATTTACTTAACCAATTTGGGACATTATTCATTTGGTGAACTGGATATCAGCATATTCAATGCAGTGTATAATGACCACAAAAACTGATTAGATGAATGCTACAAGGGAGGTAAAGGTCTTTTCTTCACTAATGCAGAGCATGTGTATGACGATGCTGAACTCCGTCTCAATGTCAGTCCTCCCTTCCCCAAATCCTGAGGCTATAGCATGCAGACAGATGTCTAGTGTCTACCTTTTCCATCAATCATCCCAAATCCCAATCATCTCTGTCAGTCGGAGGTTTTATTTGTAGGAATAAGACCTATATACAGACATTATTGATGTCTCACAAAGGAATGCATGTACTGCATTAAAAGCTGCATATATATGCACATTAATTCTGGACTCAAAAAAGACAGCTCAGCATTCAAACAAGAACTATGCCAAATGGTTTCCAGGATGTTTCTAGTTTCTAGAAAAGGCAGCATGGCATTACAACCTCCTTCATTCATACACATCTAACCGCCAAAACCACAGTGGGCATTTTCATAGAAGTAGACATCAACATGGTCAAGATGTTTAACTCCCATACATGTATCATGTACTTTGTGTGAAGTACGCTAACTAAACTTTTATCTTCACGAAATGATGTTAAGATTAGTGACTGAATTAAAGTTTAGCACACTCCTCATCTGTCCACCCAGCAGGACAATTACCCGTAACACAATATCCCATTTTCTGACTTATTCCCTTTGGGATTCTGTTCCCAGATAATTCACTAAAACAAAAAGCTGCCTTTACAGTGAGTCGCTTTATTAATTTAAAGAGACTTTAACGTGATGTCAATCACTGTCCAAACAATGCAACCTCACCCGTTTCAGTGTTGCAGAGCAAGCAGCAGCAGGACAGCACACTTAGATTCATGACATCATTGTTAAAACGTTGTTGACTATGACTATTTTTTTTTGTTTCATTCATTACACATTAATTGTCATATACAATATGCTAATATTCAGAGCCAAATAAGTTTGTACACATTGATAATGCATTAATACTTTATTATACAGAGATAGCCTACAATTAAATAAAAGTATAATTAAAAGAGAGAGTGTGTGTGTGTGTGTGTGTGTGTGTGTGTGTGTGTGTGTGTGTGTGTGTGTGTGTGTGTGTGTGTGTGTGTGTGTGTGTGTGTGTGTGTGTGTGTGTGTGTGTGTGTGTGATTGTGTCATTATTTATATTTCTAAGCTGTAAAGCAATTTAGTTATAAAAAAAAACATTAAACATTGTTGATTTTTGAAAAACAATTTTCTGGGGAAAAATACACATTGCCTAGGTATACATAATTTGTATTTGAGGCGCTAGGAAAGTTGTATAAGGCCTACCTCATCACTTGATGATTACACTTCTTAAGAATTTTATAATAATACAATAAATACAAGCATTTTCAAAAGTCTATGCCGAAACCAACATGAACAACGAGTACATTTCTAAGAACATGACTGCAAATTTGTAACGATTGTTCCTACATATCCATATTATTGGGGTTAAATTCCAGTCATGGCTATATCATTAATCACATTTCGTTATTAATAAAGACATCCAACACAACTACGAAGTCAGCATTTGAAGTTTCAAACAGAATTCGATTCAGTGGTAAACAAATTATTAAATAGGCTACTAAATATAATTTCTGTTTGGCGCCTTAACTTACCTTTGGACAAAGTTTGTTGTAGTGAAGAAACTCTGCCCAGTTACACGCGAAGCTGGAGCTGGATCTGGATCTGGTGCAGCAGCGCTGGTTCTGTCTGTCTCCTGCAACACTTTTAAACCAGTACACGCGCTTCACCGCCTCCCACCACCACTGCAATATGAAACCAGCCATCGCTGACACATTATGAAAGTTACAGACGCCCCGTGTGTGTGTGTGTGTGTGTGTGCGTGCTGCACATGACTGTCGTCATACAGCTGGGGATGCCCTGTAGACCTAGGTGAGGCTTCTCACGACTAACGCTTACTTTTCCATTGACTGTGACAGAACGACAGACGGAAAGAACGACAGACAGGCATGGATGGATGGATGGATGGATAGATAGATAGATAGATAGAGTAGATAGACAGACATGAATGGATGGATGGATATAGATAAATAGATACAGTAGATAGATAGACGGTCACCGTGATTTTGTGAAGTAAGACATGGTCCTGGATCAACATATTTTGTTTACCCTGGATCAACATTCCTGTCCCAAAATGTAGTCCTTACCCAATCCCTACCCCTAAACCTAACCCTACCCATAACTTTTCCCTAAAATCAGAGGGTAATGATAGGTGAATAACACTGATGTTTAAGTACTTCACCCTGGTTCTAAGCCTAAACTTGACATAAACTGTAAACTTGTCCCTCAGATCTGATTGGTTGATTGGAAAGTTGATCCAGGATCAACAACGATGTTGATCCAGGAACATGTGGTACTTGGTGAAATCACGTTCACCATAGAGAGACATGGATGGGTGGATGCATAGATAGATAGACATAGATGGATGGATTGATGGATGGATAGATAGACAACGATGGATTGACAGAGGTGGACAGTAACAAAGTAGGCTACATTTACCTGAGTACTGTACTTTAATACACTTTTTGAGTATCTGTACTTTACTTGCGTATTATTTTTTTCTGGAAACTTTTAACTTTAACTTAACTACATTTGAAAGTCAATTATCATACTTTTTACTCCCCTACATTTCTGTCAGGTCCTCGAGTAGAAAGTAGTAACGCCAGTCAGGGGATGATTTTGGTTGCAGGGGTTGCATTTTGGTTGGAAACGAAAGAAGGGTTGACGTCAACATCCAGCGTCGGACAGACTGTTGGATGGGCATGGATGGATAGATAGAAATGGATGGATGGATGGATAGCTAGACATGGATGAATAGATGGATGGATGGATAGATAGATAGATAGACAGACCTTTGGCGTCATAGGTGACGTCCATATGACATTTGAAATCTTACGCACATGGCATCCTTTAATATAACACGCACTGTTATGGGTAGGTTTAGGTCTGGGTACGGTTATGACGCCTTGGGATCTGCGTCTCATATTGACGCTAAACGATGCCATGTGCGTTGGATTTAGACGAGCGTCACCTGTATGACGCCTTGGGTTCTGCGTCTCATATTGATGCTGAAGGATGCCATGTGCGTAAGATTTCAACGAAATGTCCAAAGCGTCACATGTATGACGCCAAAGGATGAGAATGGGCTGGACAGACAGACATGGACGGATGGATGGATATAAATGGATGGTTAGACATGGATAGATAGATAGATAGATAGATAGATAGATAGATAGATAGATAGATAGATAGATAGATAGATAGATAGATAGATAGATAGATAGATAGATAGATAATCACAATTAACAATTTGTTTTTACTTGGTCATTTATTAGTTTATTCATTAGTTCAGCAGATGCTCATTTGAGCTCAAGTACAATAAAAGAGATCAACACAAAATCTAAGCAGTGTTTAATTAACCCCTGTGTGTGTAACAGCATGAACACACACAGATTATGCTGCTGCCCAATAGACAAAAGCTCATCTATCTATCAGTTACATTAAATAGATCAGAGGAGGCTTTATTTGACATGTAAGACTAAAGGGTTCACAGGGAACTGACAGCCAGTGTAATGAGCAGGACCCCCAGCAGCAGGACAGGGCAGGAGCTCAGGGGCGGGGCGGCACCGTGTTCCCCGTGGCTGTGGGACCGGTGCGGGCCGTTGCAGTCGTCGTTGAAGCAGCATTCCAGCTTCACCTCACCATTGCTCATGTGAGACTTGTCACAGAAAGACTTGTAAGCGCATGACTTCATCACAGAGTCTGCGGTGAACAAAACACACAGATTTAAAGAAACACATCACCCTCAGTCCGAGCATTGCTGAAGGACACGTCAGATTATCCTCGTTTGGTCTGTGCTGTTGGTTGAGTGTGTGTGCAATCCAGCAGACACACAGTATTATGTTAGTAATAGTGCAGACCGGGGCTATTTGTCACAAGAACTGTAGGTTTTAAGTCAGAAGATAATTTACATTAATGTTTTTTTAGCAGTGTTTTTGTATATTGGCTTTAAACACACAGTTCAAAACGGTCTTAAATCAGCATAATTTTTTATGAATTCTGACCTCCAAATTAAAATATATATTTTTATTTGTTTGTTTGTTGCTATAGATGCTGGGTAAACAATTGGAAAAAGCATAATCATATTGACATACAGAACATGCAGACTAGAGTACTTTTCTAACTTTAAATATCAGGTCTTGTCAAGTTGTTGCATATTTTTCTTCTTTTCATTTTATTATTATTTCAGTGCTTTAATTCAATTTAAAAAAAATTAAATGGCAGGTTAAATTTTAACAACTTCATATAGATTAGAATATCGGGGCATGTTGTTGTCACAATAGGTCAACGAGTTCAATTAACTGTGTAATTAACGGTGTTTTGCAGTAAAGGTGTAAATGTTTGATAGCTTTAATTGTAACCAAGTACATTAATTGTATTTCATAAATAATCACACCCTCGGAAATAATCACTTGGGTTAAAACTGTGACAACTAGCCCCGGTTTGCCCCACCATATTAAATTGAAACACCACAGATGTTCAAGAGGGATGTCTCCACCATGTGGTCACTAAGAGAACTATAACAGCAATCTGTCTGTGTGTGTGTGTGTGTGTGTGTGTGTGTGTGTGTGTGTGTGTGTGTGTGTGTGTGTGTGTGTGTGTGTGTGTGTGTGTGTGTGTGTGTGTGTGTGTGTGTGTGTGTGTCTGTGTGTGTGTGTGTGTGTGTGTGTGTGTGTGTGTGTGTGTGTGTGTGTGTGTGTGTGTGTGTGTGTGTGTGTGTGTGTGTGTGTGTGTGTGTACTACTCACTGGGTCCCGTGATAGTAGAGCAGGCATCTGAGTGAGCAGGACACACTGTCGATCCCTGCCGGTTACAATCCTCCATGTTCTTAGCCACACAGGTGTAACACTTCAACCCCTCACCTTCACACACCGAACAAGACAACACCACTGATCTGAGATTATACCACTCCAAACTATGCAAATACTAGTAATCTCTTTACAAGGACTGTATTGAATATATAATTAATAATAATAATAATAATTCATTAAATTTATATAGCGGGTTTCTCTGTACTCAAAGCGCTTTATATATATATGTTGTAAATATGTTACCTGTCAAGTTTGGAAGAATTATTTGTTTTTTAATGTTTTAAAAATGCTCTTATGCTCAACAAGTCTGCATTAATAGAACTGTTTTTATTTTAATATAAAATAAAAGTATTAATCTTACACAAATGTTTGAATGGTAACAGTTTCCACAAAAATGTTAAGCGGCAAAAACTGTTTTCAACATTGATAATAATAAGAAATGTTTCTTGAGCAGAAAATCGTCATATTAGAATGATTTCTGAAGGATCATGTGAGACTGAAGACTGAAGTAATGATGCTAAATTCATGTCACAGGGATACATTACATTTTTAGTTAAATGTATTAAAATAGAAAACAATTATTTTAAATTGTAATAATATTTCACAACATTACTTTTTTTACTGGATTTTTTTATTAAATAAATTCATATATATATATATATATATATATATATATAATTAGGCCTACATTTAATTTGTATCATTACAATTATTAACATTAAAATTAATATATAACATTTATATTAAAATGTGATCATTTATGATACATCTAAAATAAAGAATTTCACATACATTTAATTCATGAACGAAATGAACAGTAAATAAATAAATAAACCATTTTATATAGGCTACATTTAGTAACAGCAACGTGTTGTCGTCAATATTAATAATAAAATAATAATTACATTTAATGTAGAAACACTTACTGCTGTTACAAAATGTATATAAAAATATTTATAATACATCTATCCATTTTAATATTTATATTTATTATAAATAATAGCAATAATAATAAATAACGAAAATGTATATTATATTTGTATAGGCTACATGTATACTTATTATGTGTGCGGGGAAAGAAAATGAATATTCGATTAATATTTGAACAATTGTAAGTATTTTTGTAAAATCTCTATTACAGGAGTATCAACACTCAAAGTAATGGCAGCATTAAAATGAACCATAAAGAAATATGAAAGAAAAAAAAGAACATTTGATTTGGACGCGTTTGGTATTGGTTCTATACAGATACTCACTGTGTAACACAGCGGTGAACAGGACTATTGCGGCGAGGAGAGTCTTCATGTTGAGGAGATGCTGTTTGGAGAGAAGTGCTGAGACAGTGTGAAAGTCTTAAACTACAAAACACCTCAGCGCCTCTCCATAATCCCACAGTGTGCATTCATCACCGGCTTAACACACACGACGCATCTGCATAATTAACTGTAAACCAGGCGAGAGCGAGGATGAACCATTACAGAGGAGAAATGATTCATGATCTGGACATTTCTCTGAACATCTCAACACAGATTTCCTTTTTAAAAATGACTCCAGGACCCATGCAAGTCAAGTACACTTACCAGAAGGCCACAGAATGACACCCGGGAACTTATTATTAACAGTGTAGCCTACTGTACATTTCAATGATTCAAACATTGCATTTGTTGTGTGTTATTTGCAGCACAACACTGTTTTGATTGAATTTACTGCAGTGTACCTGTCCTCAACATAAGGACAATCTCTTTGTGAGTGCACATATTAATACCCTGTCACCAGATATCCCTCTTAAGAAGAGATTATATATGCTACACACTCACAATCATTTCTGTAAAGACAGATACCGATACTGACTGCAACCCAATAACACTTCTTAAGGCATTCATTCAACAAGCTAATTATTTCTTTATTCAGGGATTGCATTTATGCACAAAATATATATTAGTCAACGGGATATCTGTGCAACTCTCTCTTCCACTTTACAAACATTAATAACACAGTAAAAGAACTTCTCATAAAAATATACACAGGTCAGTGAGTACTGTAAAGAACACCAACACGCTCGTGAAACGCAGGCTCGATTTCTCTACACGACCCGTTAACGCTTGGCACACGGATAGCGGATTCATTTGGCAGTTGGATATTCTGAGCAAAAATGTTGCATAAGATAGCACAGAGGAATTGTGGGTACAAAAAAAAAAAAAAAAACAGCCAAAAGAAAGCATCACTTCAGCATTAGGCACGTATACTAGTCGGGCAAAAGATTGTCAATCCTCGTAATGACTTTTGAATGTTTCGAAAATGATTCGGTCCACAGGCATAACTTTGGACAGCTTCTCTGCGACGGAGAGTAAACTTGTGATATTCTCTGTAATTCATGCAGACTACAAAGTGTTTCATACAAAAAGTTTAAGTGCTTTCAGTTAGGTTTGCTTTTGTGCCGTTACATTTTGCGAAGCAAGCATTTGATCGGATTATTATGACCTCAAGCCTAGAAAAAAGTAACCCATCAGAACACCTGGTGACACCAGAGCTGGCTTAATATAATAAATTATGATAATTTGGCACCTATAAACACCCAGAGAGTAAGAAAAACAATGTATGGAACTACAACTGTCTACAAACTCTTACAACAGAAGTCTTGAATATGCTAAAAGCTACTCCGTAAAAGATTATTGCGGGTTCAATACAAGTTAAACTCGACAGCATTTGTGTTGAGTAACACAAAATGTCTTTTGAATCCATACAAATGTAATATAAATCCCTGCTTTTTTCCACCGAGATTACAGTGAGGGACTTGAATGGAAGGGGGCCAATTTTAGAGCAGAAATATGCTTACAATTGTATGGAAGTACTCAGATTAATTCTTCTGTGAACATGTGCATATTATTTAAGCTCAAAAATATTTTTTTTTAGGGTTTTAGGCTTTGTGGGTGGCAACAAAAGTAGGAAAATTGCATTAAACTTTACATAGAAAAGGTTAGCAAGTGATTTTTCACACTAAAATCATATTAACCCTCATATTGTTTCGTCATATGACTATACAGTTGAACTACTTGATATTGTAACGTTTAACATTCACTTTCATTTTAAGTGCCTCACTGTAAACCTGTATTTTTGCTTTTTTTTAAAGACAAGAGGAAATTAATTCATTCATTCATTTTTGTGGTAATCCACATTATACCACCAGTGACGTCAATTGATCTTGAACTTGTACTGAACCCGTAATTCCTTTAAATTTGTATTATGATCTCTAATATATAACCAAATAATTACACAGGTTACAGTATTATCCAATGCAAGAAATGTAACTAAAAAAGTTGTAAATAATATGATTTGCTCCCTCCGTTACAAATAGCAGCAGTGCAATCATGTAAACTATGAACAAGGCCTTTCCACAAACACCTGAACACACACCCGGAGTCTCTCCCAAACACACAGCTGCCATAACAGCCAGCAGAAAGTCATCAGAATGAGATATGTGGGTGGTTTTCCCCACTTTCTTCAAGACCAATGAAACATTTTATACCACCAAAATATAGGTGTAAGTCCAACATCAGCATTTTCTGAATCTGTAAAAAACATTTGGGACTCATATCTTGTTGTTTCTTCCAATGCCTGAGCCAGACCCATGGAAAAGTGACTCCTTTCCAAAAAGGAAAAAAACTAAAACAATGGGAGATCCAGAGGCGTTCTTGGTCGGGGTGGGTTTGGGTCAAAAATGGTGAGGTTCTCCTTCCTTAAGTTCCTTTTAGTCCGTTGTGCCCAATTTTGCAATGAGCTCATCACAAATTTTAGTGAGCTCTTCAATCTCTTGATTCTGGAAATAATAATGTGACTTTTAAATAAGGTTTGCTTGGAAAAAATGAATTGCAACATCTTGATTTGATGTTACAGCATGTGTTATACACATCAGATGTGGGTGAGGATGAATGTGTGAGAGTTTACCTTCTGTTCAAGTGCCCGCTCCAGGGACTCCACCTTCATCAGCTCTTTTCTCAGGCTGGCGTTCAGCGCCACGCTCTCTGCGTTGGCCTTAGTTCGCACCTGAGCTATCTCCTCATTCGCTCTGCAAAAAACGAACGCAGGTCAGAAATCATTCAATATCCCTTTCGCACTAGGCAGTTCTAGGAACTTGGTTATAGGAACTAGGTTTTTCGAGCACTAAATGTTCCCCTAGGACCATTTTCCTGGTTGTATTCGCACCGCCAATAGGAACTCTGAAGTGACGCAACTCTATTCTCCGCCTTCATTAGTTTACGATCCGTTTAACTGTCCTGTTTAATACGTTAATAGATAGAGCTGTTATACAAAGAAAGTAGACCGTATATGAAAAAGTATTAACGTTTGATGTGTTGCTAGCTGAGCAGAAGTACATAATCATGTTTCGCTTAGTCCCCTCATAGTTGCGTTGGATTTTCTCCTTAGCGTAAACATCGAAAGGTCCATCTATCACTGTTTTCCATGTACAGTTAGTTCGTGGAGTAAATATATAAGCTATAAACTGTGTGTACACGGCTTTTTTTTAAATGGTGGGTGCTGGTGTTTCAGTTCATGCGGTGCGAATACACCAAAAAGCTGGTACTCCCGCAATTAGTTATAGGAACTATGAAAAGGCTATGCAAAATACATTGGATAAAAGGTCAAACATGCACATGGGAAACTGACGCATCATTTTAAAGGGGTGGTTCCGGATTTTGGACATCGGGCCTCATTTCCAAGTTAGCCTTAGTGTTTTTTATCAGTGGAGACAGTTTTCAAAAATGTTCATCCAGTTGTTCCAGTTGCATATTCCGCCGGTGCTAGGCTAGCGCGAGTCAACGGTAACTGCTAGCCAGCCATTAAAAACAGTTTTTCCCACTCCACAGTACACCAAACGCAAATAAATTATACCGCCAGACTATCGATGTAAATGTCTGTTAAGAGAATAATGTTAAAAATCAAACTACTCTTGCATCTCTCAATGATCGCAATACATTTACAGGAACTAGTTTCTCAGCAGCGGCGGAATTTTACTTTGCTCCGGTTAGTAGTACTGCACCGAAAAGTAAACACAGAACCGAAGCGCACTACAGTCGGAACTGCCTCTCTCTACCTCTCTCTCTCACTACCTCTCTTGGTTGCCTAGGTAACTACATATCACTCCGCCGCTGCTGTAGACTGTGCTAATAAATACATGGAACAAAGTAACTATTGCAATGCAATGAAAGGGTAGTTTGATTTCTAACATTATTCTCTCAACAGACATTTACGATATTTGCTTTTGGTGTACTGTGGAGTGGGTAAAACTGTTTTTTAATGGCAGGCTAGCAGTTACCGTTGACTCGCGCTAGCCTAGCACTGGCGAACTATGCAACTGGAACGACTGGATGAAAATTTTTGAAAACTGTCTCCACTGATAAATAACACTAAGGCTAACTTGGAAATGAGGCCCGATGTCCAAAATTCTGAACCACCCCTTTAAGGGTCTGTTTACACGACAACGTTTTCAACTAAAAACGGAAGACTTTTTATGCGTTTTGGCCGTTCATTTACACGACAACTGCGTTTTGGTGGCCTGAAAACGCAAACTTTTGAAGTTTTTGAAAACGACACCCTTTTTATTGCAAATAAAGGATAGAGATATTAACAGTAAGAAATAAGGGAGGCATACTGACATCACCACAAGTGGTTATAAGAATTACACAAATCAACACAATATAACATTTTGTCATGAAAAATTAAAGGTTCCTTGTCATCTGTCCAAAGTTTTTTTTTTTTTTTTTTTTTTAGCACATCGTTGTCGTGTAAACGTACCCTAATAGTGAAAATGGTTCTTACTTGTCAAGTTTCTCCTCTGCGTGGATTTTGAGGGTCTGGTAACGTTGTTCCTCCTGCCTCACACGCGTGAGGTAATCCTGAGCGCACTTCTTTAGCACTTCCTCATTCTGATAAGAGAGCAGCAGAATCATCTGTACACATTCACATGAATCGTTTATATATTCAGAATTTTGGAGACTGAAGAAGACATCTTACCTTCTTATAGCCCTCGAGGACGGTCTTCAAGTTTTCGTAGCGTCTGAACAGGTCGGACAGCGAGCGCTCCACCGAGTTGAGGTCGGCGAGAGCCTGATCTCTCTCCAGGGTTACCTGGTGGACACTTTTCTGAGATCCTATGTTCTTTCGCTGGTCATCTTCTGTATTGCGGAAATCAAAAAAAAAAAAAAAAAGATTAGTGCATTGCAGAAATGTGCAAACACTTAACTTTATTCATTATGTTTTTGAACGGTTTTGAGAGGTAGATCACTCACCTATCATTTGAGCTACCGTCTTCTCATACTCATCAACTATTTTCCTAAAGTAAAATCAGTAAATAATGTTAGAATGTTTCATTGTCAGTGAAGT